TTCTCACACCACATTGGCTCTCAATTTGAAGACTACCTCCTACCAAATGTTGATGCATCTGAAAGTGCTAAACAAGAATCTAACAGGGCAGAGAGATGCATTCGATACCTGGAAATGTATCCAAGTAAGTGTTAATTGTTTTACAGTAGAGTCTCGCTTATCCGACCTTTGCTTATCCGACCTTCCATTTTATCTGATACTCTTATCCGATGCTCCCCCCTTTCCTCCAGCATTTCCCCTTCAATTAAAGGAGAGCACCCCAACTCTCTCTCCATTCCCAATAAGTGAAAAAGGCAAGACAAGGAGGAGGAGGAAAGGGGGAAAAGAGGCAGGACTGGAAGCATCCTTCCTCCTTCCCGCTGTAATTTCCACACTTCTCCTCCACATCTGGGTACTTCCTTCTGGGCCCCTCTAGCCCCAAGGTGTTGCCTTGCCTTAACCCTTTGAGTTCCTATTGCTAGTATTCTAGGTGTCTAGCGCCACGCTGGGCAGGTAATATTAGGGGACTCCGTAATATCCAACATTTTCGTTTATCCGACATTCTGCCAGCCTGTTTATGTCAGATAAGAGAGACTCTACTGTACTTAGAATTTCAATGAAACAAAATGTTGAATGATAGTATACACAATCCTCAAAATTTGCATCATACCCAATGAACTAAACTCAGCAATTTTCTGGGAAGGGGGGATCCACACAAAATTTGAGTCAGTCTCAGATTTGCTCCCAGATGTTCAGAATGTACATCTTCTATACACATAATAAAAGTGAAAATATGTAAGTGTGTAAGTTGCTGGTGTGCCCACTTTCACAGACAATCTCCCACTTCCACAAACAGCTATGATCCCCACGCATGAGGCACCACCATAGGCCCTCCTTCCAATGACTTTGCAGCTTACAGCGAGCGCTGTGAACATGTACAACCCCTGCCAATGTCCTCCACAAACATATTGCCCACTCCCCAAGTGAAGGCTTTCATACATGGCCAATTTGATCCTAGATTTTATGTGTTTCCTCCACCACAAACATCACAGTGGGGTGGAATTTGCATGACCCCACCCACTGCTTCTCCCTTAACTCTTTCCTATGCTTTTCTATGGCACACAACAAACACAGCCGAATTGATCAGCAACTGAACATACTGAAGGGAGTTGGGGGACTGACTCAAGATGATGGAAGTTGTAGTTCACTCTGCAACAAGGCAGCGACAATGGGCTTGGGCTACATTTGGCACACAGAGCCCTCGTGACCAATAAAAAATACTGGAAAGGTTTGGGGGGAATTGACCTTGATTTATAGGAGTTGCAGTTCACCTACATCCAGAGAGCACTGTGAACCCAAAGAAAGATGGATCTGAACCAAATTTGGCACACATATTTGATATGCCCAAATATGAATACTGTTGGGTTTTCGGGGGAATTGCCCTTGACATTTGGATGTTGTAGTTACTGGGATTTAAAGTTCACATGCGATCAGAGAGCACTTTGAATCTCACCAAAGTTGGACCTGGACCTAACTTGGCACACAGAACCCCCATGACCAACAAAATAATTGAGAGCTTTGTGGGGGAGGTTCATCTTGATTTGGAGGAGCTGTAGTTCACCTACATCCAGAAAGCACTGTGATTCCTAACGACAATTCACACATACCTGATACACCCAAATTTGAATATTGGAAGGGTTAGTGAGAGATTGACCTTGATTTCTGGAGTTGTCGTTCACTACAACCCATGAAATTGTGAACCCCACCAACGATGGACCTGAATCACACTTGACACACAGCACCACCATGATCAACTGAAAACACTGGAGGTGCTTGTGGGGTGAACTGACCTTCATTTTTGGAAGTTGTAGTTCACCTACATCCAGAGACACTGTGACACCACTGATGACAGATCTAGACCAAACTTGGCACACAGAACCCCCATGACCAACTGGAGCTACTGGAGGGATTTGAGGGGACTGACCCACCATGGTGGGAGCTGTAGTTTATCCTGCAGCCAGAGATCACATTGAACCCCACCAATGAGGCACCTAGAGCACACTTGCCCAACATGACAAACTTTAACTACTGATGGAGATATAGGGGGTTAACTTGGCATGATGTGAGCTGTAGTTCACCCACAAACTTATGCATATTGTACAATAAAAAATGCCAGGTACCCGAACTAGTTTAAGGATAAATATCAAGTTTCATAAAAATCCGTTTGTAAATGTGAATTCAAATGTAATTTAAAAGTTACAGAAAATTGAGGTCTTTCTTTTACAGGTACTCAAAATAGTTGATGAATCTATTCCAAAATCTTTTTGTTTGTCCCACTAGATAACACAGCAATGTTGGTGTCTTTGATTTGAATAGCACAACACAGATATAACTGCTTTTAACTGCTTTTAATTAGATATATATTAGTGATTCTGTACTGGTGCTGCGGATAGGACTCTAGAATTAAACTTTCAATTGTCCCTGACTAAAATCAGGATCCTCTAAAGTTACTAATTGGCTAACACCAGATAACAATTCTTTTCATAATATGCCAAATACTGACCAGCTTCTTTGAAGTCTGGTCATAAACATGCATTCTGTTGATCTCATGGCAGCTAAAAAGAAGTATTTATTTTTCTGGCCAACTAGTGACTTCAGTCCCTCCTGGTTTTAGTCTATCAAGGATGACTGAAGGTTAATTGTGGAGCAGGGATAGGGAATGTATAGCTGTCTGCCAGATGTCCCATATCACTGGCTAAGGTGGCTATGGCTGTTGGAAGCTGCAGTCCACGAGCATCTGGATGGCCACAATGTAAGATCTCTGAACAAAGTAGTGATATAACAACTTCAAATGGCATGGGGAAGAAACAATAAGAGTCCTTTAGCTGTTCCTTTTGAGAATACCCCATACTCTGTCTTCCCTATGGAACAATGCTCATGGAAAATGTACATTTGGCTTTCCTTCCACTAATACCATACCTAGAAACATTTTTAAAAGGATGTTAAATGTGTATACACTCACAATATACACCAGGTGCTTGAAAGAGGTCAACAACAGTTTAATCTTTCTGCACCAATAAACGAAACCATAAACTGAAATTAAAATCTGCATGTCAATTTATTCAGGGTGTTCACAGCTGCAGTCCTTTAAAAATTGTGCACCTGCTCCCAGATAGCAACATCACATCATTTCAATATCTCTCTCCTTCTGTATAACTCAGTGGTTCCCAACCTGTGGTCCATGTGGTTCCCAACCAGTGGTCCGCAAGAACTAAAATATGGTCCACGACCTCACCATTACTACACCGTTGCAACAAGAGCGAATGGTCTAGCAAAACCCTCTTATAGTGCCAAGGCTTATTGAATATGTTTTTCTGTGGGTGAGCAGATGGCAATGACTGGATGGCATACGTTTTGTATCAGAAACTAGAGCCAATGTGGTCTAGCCAATGCAATTTTCTGAATCAGCACCCCAAATAACCAAATTGAATCTAAAGTTGACCAAAAACTGATTCGTAACCCTTTTGGTACTAATGTTGGAGAGTGGTCCCTGGTTTAAAAATGTTGGGAACCCCTGGTATAACTAAATGCATGATAGTCTCTTGAATTTCATAGGATTTTTTTTCCATAAGCAAAAAATGCTCAGAGGTTGTTTTTCTTAGTTCTTTCCTCTAAAATATAACCCACAGGACCTGGAATTCATTGGCAGGCTCCCTTCTAGGTACCAAACAGGGTTGATCCTGCTTAGCTTCCACGATCAGAAGGAATGTGGTGTCTTTAGGGTAGCACACACAACCAAACCCGGATTCACACCAGAGCTGTGGAGATCTACTTTGTTTTATATTTGATTCCTGCAGCCTGATGCAAAAGGCTCATCACCAATACGTGGAGGCGTAAAAACATAACCCAGTCAAATAATATTCAAGCCTGAAAATGTTTTGTTACAGGCCCCATGTATTACAAATCACCCAGAGCTCTCTACTGGAAAGACCTAATTTCACTTCTGCTTGCAATATCTCTTAAAATAATGGTTCTCAACCTGTGGGTCCCCAGGTGTTTTGCCCTACAACTCCCAGAAATCCCAGCCAGTTTACTAGCTGTTAGGATTTCTAGGGAGCCCTCGGTAGCACAGCAGGTTAAACCGCTGAGCTGCTGAACTTGCTGACTGAAATGTCAAGAATCTGGGGAGCAGGGTGAGCTCCCACTATTAGCCCCAGCTTCTGCCAACCAAGTTGTTTGAAAACATGCAAATGTGAGTAGATCAATAGGTACCACTTCTGCGGGAAGGTAACGGCACTCCATGCAGTCATGCTGGCCATATGACCTTGGAGGCATTTACAGACAAAGCTGGCTCTTCGGCTTAGAAATGAGCACCACCTTCCAGAGTCAGACACAACTAGACTGAATGTCAAGGGAATCCTTTACTTTTACTTTAGGATTTCTGGGAGTTGAAGGCCAAAACATCTGGGGACCCACAGGTTGAGAACCATTGTCTTAAAACAAGAGTTTTCTGTCCCACTTTTGATTATCAGGTGGAACTAAGGGGAAGGGTACAGCTTCTCTGCAGGATCTCCAAGAAGCAGCACAGTTGGAGGGCAGAAAACATTAACTCTGGTTGCCATCCTTTTTTCCCCTTCCAAGACTCTCATTTCCAATATCCCCACTCCCACTACTTCCAAGTAACACGTCAGGACACTGGAAATGAAGTAGGAGGCATCTCTTTTGTTTTTAATCTCCACCCCACTCACTACCTTGAAACACAGTTTTCCTAGAAATTACCCACACAGAAAGAGAATACACAAATAAGTTAATAATTAAAATGACAGAACAAGGTCAGAGACACAGAACTGCATCGAGGGGAAGCAATAAATATGAAGAGAGGAAAACAAATGGAATAAAAAAGAAGTTAAATTCCAGAAGTAAACTTACACCACCTCGCATATTGATTTCCAAATGTGTGTTCCAAAAAAAGGGTTGCTCAGGAGTTTATTAGAGCCCCCCCCCCCCCTTCCATGAGGTTGGTCATGGTGGAGAAATGTTTTGCAATGGATGAATGTCCACTTTACTGCATAGCCAAGAGGGAATCTCAGGCACCTTTGGTGTGCATGAAGCATTGCTGAAGCCTAGTAGATGTGGCTGGTGGTCCACACACATACAGACAATGCACCCTAAAACATGTTCTAGAGCCCCACTTCCCACATTACGCAGTAGGAATCCTTGGTAGCTTTTTATGAGATGGAAGGGATTCTCCTAGAATAGATGATCTGTAAGATCTTGGTCTTGAGCCTAAAGAGTGAGGAGCAAAAATAGAGACCCACTCTGTATTGCACGCCAGTAAAAAGAAGAGTTGGTGAGATCTGGCAGTGAAAGCTAAGAGGGGTGAAAGGCTCTACAGCAAGTGTCCAGAGACACCTTTTGATCATGTTGGACCCATAAATGTCTCTGTAGCCATCTCCCATCTAATAAGAAACATTGCTGCCTTCCAGTCCACAAAAGGTGCTCAGCTATACCAGCGAAGTTCAACCTTTGGGTCTCCACTTCCAAAGAATGACACACCGCAGTGACATCCTTATGATGGCTATAACTTGTGGTCATGGTGTTGTGTTCTGTCAATACAAACTCCTGAATGTTGCTGAAACAGAGACAGACACTGCAGCAAGTGTCTCTCAATCAGGGTGAAACCCACTTCCTCTTGCCCAATGGGAATACTGCACACACCCCTTGGCCAATGAGAGACCGTGTTGACCAGGGAAACACCAAGCACAACCTGGGCCAGAGAGGAGGCCGTGTCTTGACAAACCAATGTGACAACCACACAATACATCCCTCCCTACGTCCGTCCCATGCGAGTGAGTAGGGTGCAGACACACGAGGTGTCAATACGGATCCAGCGCCAGGCCACAATCTTGTCTGAATCTATGGTGAGAGCCCTCACATATGACTGCTTTGCCTTGCACTCCGAGATCCAGTGGCGACGGTCTACACCTCGGCATCCGCCCACCGTGCCTCCAGCTGGATTACATTTGGTCTCAAAGAAGTACTGCTTCAGCGGGCCTGTAAGTGTCTGGACTTCAGAAAGCACTGTAACAGTTCTTCCACGGATGTCCACAGCTGTGCGTTTGTCTGTCACCCAGACGTTGACGCTGTCACACACTGACATCTCCCCCCTGCGTAAAGAACTGTCCACGGAGCGTTTGGACTTGAATGTTTGGTTAGCAGCCTGCCCTGGCTGGGCATTGGAGTCCTCCATGAGGAAAAGCAATGGTGGTCCTTCAGGTTCATGGTGGGAAAGAGTGACGCGGGGGGAGAAGAGGTCCCAGTCCTGTACGGGAGTCTCAGCCCAAAGGATGTCTGTGGTGTTAGAATGGGCGCTGGCATTGGGAATGGGGGCAGCACGGATGATAGAGAGCAGTGGGGTGATCATGGCATGGAGCAGAATAAGCATCCCTCCCTGCACGGCGGGAACCTGGGTGGGAAGAAATACATTCCATTTCAAATGCTTGTTTGCAAGGTGTAGGGGTATACAGTGCAACCTACATATCTATGGAAGATACGAGGGTTGGATGAAAAGTAATGCCTCCACCTTCATAACTCCTCAATAGATGGCAGTACTGGTATGCGGCAGGTACTAACTTGTTCAGTAGACTCTACAGTTCCATTTTGGCGGGAAGCGTTAGCATTGAACGGTTGTGTTGTTAAAGTGCAAAGTATGGAAAACTGCGCAGATGTTTGGTCAATGAGACTCAAACAATGTGCGGTCATTGAATTCTTGACAGCAGAAGGTGTCACCCTAGGGAAGATTCATCAGAGAATGAAAACTGTTTATGGTGATTGTGTTGATGTGAGTACTGTGCGTCATTGGGTGAGTAAGTTTTAAAATGTTGAGGTGACACCTTCTGCTGTCAAGAATTCAATGACTGTATGTTGCTTAAGTCGCATTGACCGACCATCTGTGCAGGGTTCCATACTTTGCACTTTAACAACACAACCGTTCAATGCTTAGGCTTCCCACCAAAATGGAACTGTACATTTCTGCCAATGATGAACAAGTTTTCTGAAGCCATCACGAAAGAAGTCAACACTCTTGTTTCTGCAACCAGCATCTCACAGTTCTCTCAGCGTCTTCATCAGAAGCATAAATCTGGACTGTATGGAGGATGTCGTACGGTGGTGAGATCAAGTCTCTGAAGTTTCAAGTCTGTGAGCTTTCATTTCAGGCGTCAGCATCCTGGGTACCCATTGTGCACAGATCTCCCGATAGCCAAACAAAGCAATAATGTGACCTACGCATTCTTGTGAAATGCCAATTATGCTTGAAATTTCTCTCTGAGTGATACGACAATCATCCTGAATCAATCTGTCAACCTTTTGTTTGTGAAACTTGGTGGTTGCTGTCACAGGACATCCAACTCTTTGTTTGTCATGCAAGTCAGATGTTCCCACCTCAACATTTTTGAACTTACTCACCCAACGATGCACAGTACCCACATCAACACAATCACCATAAACAGCTTGCATGCTCTGATGAATCTCCTTTGCGGTGACACCTTCTGCTGTCAAGAATTCAATGACTGCACGTTGCTTAAGTCGCATTGACCGACCGTCTGCGCAGGGTTCCATACTTTGCACTTTAACAACACAACCGTTCAATGCTAAGGCTTCCCACCAAAATGGAACTGTAGAGGAGAGTCTACTGAACAAGCCAGTATCTGCCGCATACCAGTGCTGCCATCTGTTGAGGAGTTGCGAAGGTGGAGGCATTACTTTTTATTCAACCCTTGTACATTCCAGGACTGCATGTGGATACTCAATACCACAGACAATACAAGTCAGGAGATGCAAGGGTGTTTGGTCATATTAATAGTAACCACAGTCAATACCACAGACAATACAAGTCAGGAGATGCAAGGGTGTTTGGTCATATTAATAGTAACCACAGTCAAGCCTGTAACACACCTCTTATGGATACGAGGGTCTTATTGCAACAGAATTCAGTAGTCATTGAATTTTGCAAATATGACTACTAAGCATAATAATTGATAGTGGGCCTCTAGGGTTGCCAAATAATGCGTCTAAGACCTTGAATTCAACTTTTTCAGGGCACCAGATTTAATAAGTGAAGGCCTACTAGAGTCAAAGAAATATCCCTCTCCAGGTGAAACACCTCCCTCCAGGGTCAACGTGAACATGTTTTCACCCTAATCTCAGAAGTCATATTACAAAATCATGAAATAGTAGGAAAAAAAGGAAGATCTGTTTGGTCTCATTCATATAAAGAAGTTGTGGCTACTAGGCATGTGAAATGCATTTAAAATGGTTCTATAGTACTTACAAAACTAGGGGGCGCTGGTGCTTCATTTGTAAAGTGTTTCTAATGTTTCAGAGATCAAACATTTGGAACTCTAACAAGACTAATGACATTTCGTAATTATTTTATTAATGGCAATCGTGCATGTGCAATAAGGAATGTGCAATAAGGAAAACATCACTGTCGGTGGGGAAAGTTCAGGGGCTCCCCTTCCCCTCATTTTTAAAGCTATTGAGGTGAAACTTACTGGGACAGGTGAGGTTATTACCTGTACAGTCAGTGCTTCCTTATATCACAGCCAAGTAGGTCCTCAACTTTATTCATGACCCTCCAGAGTATGACCTTGTTTGGATATTCCTTGATGCGAGGAAATCTGGGAGCTCTGAGATGATCACTTTCTGCTGCCTTGACCTTAACAGATGTTGGTGTCTCTTCGCAGTTCATGTGCCGGAAAGTCTGGACTCCTGAAAGTCTTGGCAAATCTCAGACATCTTGGTTTCTCCATGAGATGAGCAAGCAGAGCAGGCCTTTGCCCAGAGGTAAGTATTTTTTCCTCACTCTTGGAGAAGAGTTCTGGCTCAGGAAACAATTGGACTTGACTGAAGGCCTGATGTCACTCATCCAACCTGGCAAAAGAGACAAATGTTCAGTGAATAGGACCTAGGAGTTGAAGGTTACTATTCACCCTGTTTCAACCTAATAAGGGTGGATCTACACTGCCCTATATCCCAGAATCTGAACTGCATTATATGAGTCTAAACTGCCAGATAATCTGTGATCAGATCATGGGATATGGAGCAGTGTAGATCCAGCCTAAGAAGTCACACCAAAGCATGTGAAAGTTGGCTTTCGTATCCATGGATGCTTCTATATATATATAAATGCTCTGTGCATAATGAGTACCTTATAAACAAAAGAACCAATGAACGTAATTACACCAAATTTGGTAACAAAACATCTCACAACACATCACTCAAAAAATTATGATTTTGTCATTTGGGAGTTGTAGTTGTTGGGATTTATAGTTCACCTACAATCAAAGAGCATTCTGAACTCCCATCAACGATGCAGTTGAAGCAAACTTGGCACACAGAGCTCCCACAACCAACAGAAAACACTGGAATTTGGTATGCATTGACCTTGAGTTTGGGAGTTGTAGTTCACCTATATCCAGAGAGCACAATGGATTCAAACAATGATCGATCTGGACAAAACTTGGCATGGGTACTCAATATGCCCAAATGTGAACACTGGTGAGTTTGGGGGAAAATAGACCTTGACATTTGGGAGTTGTAGTTGCTGGGATTTATAGTTCACTTACAATGAAAGAGCATTCTGAATCCTGTGAACGATAGAATTGGGCCAAACTTCCCACATAGAACCCCATGACCAACAGAAAATATTGTGTTTTTTGATGGTCTTTGGCGACCCCTCTGGCACCCCTTTGTGACCCCTGCAGGGGTCCCGACCCTCAGGATGAGAAACACTGCTTTAGGGTGTCGTAAAACACCTCCCCCGCTTTTAACGGTACCTAATTTCTTTAATTACAGGTAAAGCTGTTTTCAAACTGCTTATGTAAACAGTGAGTAGGACTGACAGTCGACTGCTCGCGCCGACCTGAGGCTTCAAACTTGCACCCTTCCGGTTGACAGATCTTATAGTTCTGGTGATTTACCAGCTGTGCTAAACCTCCCGAATGGCAAATTCAAGGCTTGCTTTTTTGGAATTTTAAAAAATATTTTCAAGCAGCAGATAGCTAAATTTGTGGGTGCAGACTCTATGGATTCAGACAGGCAACTGTAATCTAGGGATGATGGGAATGGCTCTAATTCAACCTATATGGAGGGCACCAAGTGTATTATTTTTCAACATTTGTTATTTTCTGTATTTTGCTGCTGCCTTTCTCCAGGACGAGGCAGCTTACAAAAAAGCCAGAGCAAGAAAGAGCTAACCCCACCCCTTGGCAATAAAAAAGTTAAAACATATTAAACAGATTATCATATTAAACTATTAAGTATAAATCATTAAAAGTGGAAGATCGTTTAAAACCATAAAGTTAAAAATACAGTACAAACACTCTATAAAAACACTCCCTAAACCAATTAATCATTAAATGCCTGCTTTGAATAAAAAGGCCTTTGCCTGCCAGAAAACAGAGAGCAGTAAGAGGTTACCCGCCCTGCAGAAAAGAATTCTACAATCTGGCCTTCTCCAAGTCCTCTCCTGCGATGATGATGGGACCTAGAGTGCATTCACACTCTAGAATTAATACAGTTTGACATCACTTTAACTGTCATGGCACAATACTATGGGATCTTGGGATTTGTAGCCTGAGAGAGCTACTTGTCTGAATCACACTCTCAAGAGTTCCTTATCCATCACAACCAGTGGCCATGCTGTCTTTGAGATTCAGGAAGTCATAGTCCATAAAATCCTCATGATTTTCTCCCATTGTGGAAGGAAAATGGGGTTTCCAAATACTCTCCGGGCCCAAATGTTGCTCCTGACCCATCCCAGGGGCAGCTGGGAAACATCAGGTGATGCTAAGCATTCTACAGCTGCCGACAGGAGCCAAGGGAATGGGATCCAGATGTAGAAACATCTGGGGAAAGCTGTTATGGGGAGAATGGGCTTGGGAAGGGGGCTAATCCCTCTTGCCTTTGAAAATTGACACTGATGGAGTGTTTAATCCCTTTCCTCTGATGCCTTCTTTTGCATTCATTACCTACCCCAACTCCAATGATACACACATTTCCATAGGAAACAATGTCTGTGGAGCAGGGAAATAAACCCCTTGCCCTCATTTGAATGTCTGGGAACAGTTGCACAGCAAGAGGGTACAGGATTTGACAATCCATGTGCCCCTCTATCTGAGCATGTATAAATGCAGCCCTTCTTAAGCTGTTGTGGGTTTTTTTTTACCTCTCAAGCCATGGCACAGTAAGTAGAATCAACTTACTTAGGTCAGGCTGTGTATGGACTACTACATTAGTAGTAGTAGTAGTAGTAGTAGTAGTAGTACACTCTATGCAAGCTGGAGAGTCTGAGATTTTAGTTCCAAAAGATTTGGGATGAAAATAGGATAAGGCAAAGCAGAAAGTCCTAGTGGAAGGTGAAAGGCCACTATCCTGTCATTCTAACCCAGCATTTCTCAACCTGGGAGGGTCGCAAGCAGGGGCGGCTCAACCCATTACACAAAGTAAGCATTTGCAGTATACTTGATTTTGCCCAGGGGCGCTCTTGAGGCGCTCTTGGGGGAAAACAGACCTTGACATATGCGAGTTGTAGTTACTGGGATGTATAGTTCACCTACAATCAAAGAGCATTCTGAACTCCACCAATGATGGAATTGAACCAAATATGGCACACAGAACTCCCACGACGAACAGAAAATATGTATCATTGATTGGTTGGGAAGGGGGGGGGGCAAAATACTGGTTGCTTACTGTCGAAAATTACCTAGGGCCGCCTCTGGTCATGAGGGAGTATCAGAAGGGTCACCAAAGACCATCAGAAAACACAATATTTTATGTTGGTCATGGGGGTTCTGTGTGGAAAGTTTGGCCCCATTCTATCATTGGTGGGGTTCAGAATGCTCTTTGATTGTAGGTGAACTATAAATCCCAGTAACTACAACTCACAAATGTCAAGGTCTATTTTCCCCAAACTCCCCCAGTGTTCACATTTGGGCATATTGAGTATTTGTGCCAAGTTTGGTTCAGATCCATCATTGTTTGAGTTCACAGTGCTCTCTGGTTGTAGGTGAACTACAACTCCAAAACTCAAGGTCGATGCCTACCAAACCCTTCCAGTATTTTCTGTTGGTCATGGGAGTTCTGTGTGCCAAGTTTGGTTCAATTCCTTGTTGGGAGTTCAGAATGCTCTTTGATTGTAGGTGAACTATAAATCCCATCAACTACAACTCCCAAATGTTAAGTCTATTTCCCCAAACTCCACCAGTGTTCACATTTGGGCATATTGAGTATTTGTGCCAAGTTTGGTCCAGATCCATCATTGTTTGAGTCCACAGTGCTCTCTGGATGTAGGTGAACTACAACTCCAAAACTCAAGGTTGATGCCTGCCAAACCCTTCCAGTATTTTCTGTTGGTCATGGGAGTTCTGTGTGACAAGTTTGGTTCAATTTCATTGTTGGCAGAATTCAGAATGCTCTTTGATTGTAGGTGAACTATAAATCCCAAATGACAGAATCGATGCCCCTCCAACCCTACTAGTATTCAAATTTGGGTGTATAGGGTATTTGTGGCAAATTTGGTCCAGTGAATGAAAATATATCATGCATATCAGATATTTATAGTACGATTCATAACAGTAGCAAAATGACAGTTATGAAGTAACCACAAAAATAATGTTATGGTTGGGGGCCACCACAACATGAGGAACTGTATTAAGGGGTCGTGGCATTAGAAAGGTGGAGAAACACTGTCCTAGCCTATTTAGCAAAGTGACAGTTATGAAGTAGCCATGAAAATAATGTTATGGTTGGGGGCCACCACAACAAGAGGAACAGTATTAAGGGGTCACAGCATTAGAAAGGTGGAGAAACACTGTTCTAACTTATTTAGCACAGCAATCATGATCCCAGCCTTGGGATAAGAACCACCCTTCCCAAATCCCCCTTGCTATCAATAAGGACAACCCAGGGTGGACCCCGGTCATCTTTTGTTGGCTGGCTTTGAAACTGGGTGAGGCATGGACTCCTGGGTTCTTTGGCAGGGGAGTGGTGCCTAGTGGCTAAGCAAACAAGTCTTAAGAGATAGTTAAGCCTGACCCGTAGGCTATTTGCATAAGCATCATCCCCCCCCCACCTCAAAAAATGCCTGGCGCCCATGACCTTGCTCCCTCCTATGAGTAAGGGTTGGAGGGGGGGGATGAATGCTGTTGTGTGGTGCGAAACAGCAGGCATTCCACACAGGGGAACCAGCCCCTGCTCCGAGGAGGTATGCGTAGCTTAGCACCGGGCAGGCTCCAACCTGCCGCCTCCCAGCCCCGGTGCTGATCATCAACAAGCAGGAAGCCCTGGCTTTGTCAAGGATGGCCACCGTTCTGGCTCCTGGTGTTTCCTTCATTTCTGTTCCTCCCCACCTGAAAAAAAAAGTCACGAGCTTTTGCAGCAAGTTTTGCAAACTTTTGCAAATTGTATCAAGGTCTGTATTAAAGGATCCCCTTGCGCTGTGCAACGCAATCAAGATGCTGCAGCCAAATTACATGAGATCAATTTGGAAAATTCCCTTCTTGGATCAGACAAGAGAATTCCCCCACAAGCATGACCACAAACTAGGACTGGAACTACACTGCCATATAATTCAGATTATTTATTTATTTATTTATTTATTGTGTCAGGGGCAACCAGACAATTGTATTACATTTCTAACAGAACAAAACAAACAAACATACAAAACACAAAATTTGCAAGCTTGGTAGTTGATTAAATGCCCTTTGACCAGTATCTGGCCACTTGGAGTGCCTCTGGTGTTGCCGCAAGAAGGTCCTCCATTGTGCATGTGGCAGGGCTCAGGTTGCATTTCAGCAGGTGGTCAGTGGTTTGCTCTTTTCCACACTCTCATGTCGTGGATTTCGCTTTGTAGCCCCATTTCTTAAGATTGG